AAAAAAAAAAAATGCAGTAGCCTCATCATGGCTCACTATAGCCTCAGAATCCTGGGCTCAAGTGATCCTCCTGCCTCAGCCTTCTAAGTAGCTGGGACGATAGGCACGCATCACAATGTCTGGCAAATTCTTCTATTTTTTTTAACTCCATTTTCTGTTTACATTTTTCTAATTTTTAATAGAGATGGAGACTCAATCTTGCTCAGTCTGGCCTCAAATCTTGGCCTCATGTGATCTTCACATCTCAGCCTCCCAGAGTGCTAGGATTACAGGTATATACCACATTTTCTATAAATCTAAAAATGCCCTAAATAATCTAACTAAAAAACAATACAGCCAGGCTGGGTGGTGTAGCTCATACCTATAATCCTAGCACTCTGGGAGGCTTAGGCAGGTGAATCTCTTGAGCTCAGGAGTTCTAGGTCAGCCTCAGCAATAGCAACCCTGTCCGTACTAAAAATAGGAAAATTATGAGCGGTGCCCATAGCTCAGAAGGTAGGGCGCTGACCACATACATTCAGCCTGGCGGGTTTGAACCTGGCCCAGGCCAACTAAAACAACAATGACAACTGCAACAACAATAAAAAAAAATAGCCAGGCGTTGTAGTGGGCGCCTGTAGTCCCAGCTACTAGGGAGGCTGAGGCAAGAGAATCGCTTAAGCCCAAGAGTTTGAGCTGTGATGCCACAGCACTCTCCGCAGGGCGACAGCTTGAGACTTTGTCTAAAAAAAAAGGAAAATTAGATGGGTGTGGTGGTTCATGTCCATAATCCTAGCTTTCTGTGTGGCTGAGGAGGGAAGATTTCTTGAGCTCGGGAGTTCAAGACCAGCCTGAGCAAGAGCAAGACCCTGTCTCTAAAAATAACTGGGCATTGTGGTGGGTGCCCACAGTCCTAGCTACTCAAGAGGGTGAGGCAGAGGATTGCTCAAATCCAAGAGTTTGAGGTTGTTGTGAGCTATGACGCCATGGCACTCTACCCAGGGTAACAAAGTGAGACTCTGCCCAGAGCAGTGAGTCTGTGCGTCCTCTTCCTGGAATGTGGAAGGGCCCTGGGGACAGTAGATGTCTCTGCAGCCTCCTCCACACCCTGAATGACACAAGGCTGAGGCTCACTGCACTGCCCAGCTGACACCCAGGGCGCCAGCCAGGGTGGCTATGTCCAGCATCATTTGGTGCAAGGGAGAAGTCACAATGGAAGGAGAACCAGGAAAAGTTCCCCAAATTGCCTCTATCAGTCAATCTCAGGGCCCACAGCCCCAGCACAGCTCAGTTCCTCAGTGAGCAGAGAAAAGGCTGTTCGTGCTCACAAACATACTCAGCAAGCAAGCTGTGGAGACCCACAGAAACTCCCTTGCTCATATGACATGCCTGGGACAGGCAGATCCACATAAGTGGGAAACAGGTGATTGGCGGGAGGGGGGGTATAGGGTTTCTGCCTGAGTGAGGAAATGTTCTAGGGCCAGACAGGATGTGGGCTACACACTGCATGTGCTAACTGCCCCTGAAATGTACATGCTAAGATGGGGAATTATGTTCTGTGTATCCTGCCACAATAAAAAGAAAAACCTTGAAGCCCTTCACTGCCTGTCACTTTATCTTTGGGGCTTGCCAGGATCACAGGCCCCAGTGATAATCCAGGGATAGCCCAGGGACTCACTCTGACCAGTCGTGGGTCTGAAGGCTCCCGGAAACCACCTGCAGAGCACAGCTTTGGGGTGAGAGGGACCCCAGGTGCCACAGGGCATGTGAACAGTGGACACTGGCCCAACCCCAAGCCAGAATGCCCTAAAAGTTCCCATAGGAGCTGTGCTGTCCCCAAGCCCAGCAGCCAGTCAACAGCTGACTCCACTGAGAACCCAGCTGACAAAAAGGCTCAGGGCTGGCGGCGCCTGTAGCTCAGTCAGCAGGGTGCCAGACACATATACCAAGGGTGGCAAGCTCAAACCTGGCCCCAGTCAGCTAAAACAACAATGACAATTACAACAAAAAAAATAGCTGGGTATTGGTAGTCCCAGCTACTTGGGAGGCTGAGGCAAGAGAATCACTTAAGCCCAAGAGTTGGAGGTTGCTATGAGCTGTGACGCCATGGTACTCTACCCAGCACAACAGACTGA